AGTCTCCTGCCTCAGCCTCCCAAGTAGCTGGGACTACAGGCGCCCGCCACAACGCCCAGCTATTTTTTTGGTTGCAGCCATCATTGTTGTTTGGCCGGCCCGGGCTGGATTCGAACCCTCCACCTTAGGTGTATGTAGCTGGCGCCTTAGCCACTTGAGCCACAGGTGCCGAGCCTAAAAGTGTCATCTTATTTAGCAAACAAAATTATGACATTTAATATTCTCATGGATTTCCCTGGACTCTAGAATCACATAGACCTGAGTTCAAATCCAGACTTCACACTTACTAGCCTTGTGATCTTAGGCAATGTAATTAACCTCTCTGGGCCTCCACTTCCCCTCTCCACAGAGGAGAGATTAATGGCAGAACCCTCCCTTTCCTGAGGTGGCTGTGAGGATGACATGAGGTGTCCACAGCAATGCTCAGCCCTTGTGAGCATCCCATTTAAGAACATTCTAGCCGCATGTGACCAGACAAGCAGAAACCACTGGATGCAGGTTAAGGTACCAGCCAGGAGTGGTATCAGCGACAGCTGGGTGGAGAAGGCGCTCTGCTTCCAGTGGCTTCCCAGTCTGAGGTTGCCCTCCTCTTCTCCTCGATGCTTCTTACTTTTTTTGCGGGTTTTCTTTTTTCCGTCTGACTCGCTCCTTCTAACTGTGAAATCGAGAAAGGGGGATAGTGTTAAGAGGAGAGTTGCTATATGTGAATGCGTACATGCTATGGAGATTCAGGAAGGTTCCAGAAGCTCCTATAAGGTACAGGCTATTCCTTGTGATACTGCCAATTCCCAGCAACCAGAAGAGGAAACTAAACACAGACAGACCAGTTTGGGGGTATGTGCAGGAGTCGGGGGAGGAGGAGGAGGGCATTCTCATCCCCCACTGCTGCTACTTGAGAACATGGACAGAAGAGGACTAGGTCCCCTGTCCACAATGACAAGGATACTATAACATGCTCAAGGTTCTCCCCTAAGCCAGCTCTTAACCTCAGTGCAGGGTTGAGGTCTGGGCTTTGGAATAGAAACACCAAAGTTCCAGAACCAGCTCTATTCCTTCTAAAGAATAATCTGGTGAAAATCAGGCATGGTGGTGCACATCTGTAGTTCCAGTTACTCAAGAGGCTAAGGAGGAAGGACTGAGTAAGCCCAGAGTTCAATGCCAGCCTGGGCAACATAGTGAGACTCTATATTTAAAAAAAAAAAAAAAGAAAGAAAGAAAAAGAAGAAAACAATTCTGACCCTCAGTGACCCCATCTCTGCATCTCTTGAAAGGAGGCAACAGAATCTGCTTTCTGGGTGTTGAAAAGAGGAAATGACCAAAGCTATGTAACACACACACACGAATCTATGGTCACCCAGACTATAAGCTACTTGTTCCGTGCCCTAAAGCTGATGAAACAGACTAGAAAGCCCAGAAATAGACCCACGCACATAGGGGAACCTGACAGTTGCCAACAGTGGCATTTCATGTCAGTGGAAAGGGTGGACTAGTTGGTGAGCTACACTGTCCACCTGGAAGCAGATGAAGCTATTAGGCCATCTCATGCCAAATACAAAATGAATTCCACACCAAAAGTAGAAAGCAAAAACTTCAAAAGCATTAGAACAATAATATGTTGCCCCCCCTAGTCTTGACTACACATGCGTGCTACCAAGCTGTCTGAGGAAGGATGTCTTAAACATTACCAAAAGTACAAACCAGAAAGGAAGTTAAATAACTGATGTATAAAATAAGACACCACAAATCAAGTCAAAGGATATTGTACAGACCCTCATCTGTGAGAGTTACAATACACATAATTGACAATGCATGATTACCCAGGAAATGGAGAAATAAAGCCTGTGGATCAATAAGATAAATTTTTAAAAAAATTTTTTTTATTTCAACTTATTACTTTGAAGGTTTTTTTAAAAAATTTTTTTATTACTTCTTCCTGTAGTGTTTTCTTGCACCCCATGTAGTTGGGATCACAAGGTCTGGCTATCTCGTTGTCCTGTTGTTGTTGTAGAGACAGGGTCTCACGCTGGCTCAGCTGGCTCAGGGGGGTCTTTAGCTGGTCTCGAACCTCTCAGCACAGGTGATCTACCCGCCTCGGCCTCCCATAGCGCTGGGACAAGAGGCGTGAGCCACCACGCCCGGCCAATAAGATAAATTTTTAAAATCAGCAGAAAAACAAATATGAAGAGGCAGGTAGTACAGGATGTGTCATGCTGCATAGTCTCAGGTTATAAAATTAACATACAAAAATCAGTAGCATTTCTATATACCAGCAAAGACCAAGCTGAAAACCAAATCAAAACCCCAATCCTATTTACAATAACTGCCATAAAAAATTAAAAAATAAAATAAAATACCTAGAAATAAATTTAAGCAAGGAGGTGAAAGATCTCTACAAGAAGTATCAAAATTACTGATGAAAGAAATCACAGATGAGGCTCAGCGCCTGTGGCTCAAGCGGCTAAGGCGCCAGCCACATACACCTAAGGTGGCGGGTTCGAATCCCCAGCCTGG